TTTTTTTTTTTTTTGGTCCGGAGATTCATGTACCCCTGGTATCGGTCCGGACTGTCCGGGTCCGGTGATGTCCGGATCACCGGACATTCCGGACTGGTCCGGAAGACAGTCCGGAAGTGTCCGGTGTCCGGGTCCGGGGTTACCATGTTGGAGAGTCCTTCAATTGTTCGACTGCATCTCTCCTTCCATATGACCCATAGGGTCACCTTTCTGATGAGTTCAAACCAAGTCTTCTCAGCTTTCCGAGCCTGAWCAGRGATGTTAGTCAAGAGGAGCAGTTGAATGGGTTGTTTGGGGAAGGGAGATGAGAAGAGGGAGGCCCAGAGTGAAGACGCTTTCGCCCAGTATTCGGTTGCTTCTTTACAGAGGATTAGGCAGTGGACTATATCTTCTACCAAGCCTTCATTACAGACTGTACATAATTCTGAACTGTCTGGGTCTGTGGTTTTCCGTCTAATGTGTAGCCATTGATTCACTGGTAGGGCTGCATATACAATCAGCCATTGCATGCTTCTGATCTTGACTGGTCTGATGCGTTAAAATTTTTCCCAAGCTTCTTGGCCCACGAGGTTCCGCCATCTGTTTTTAATGATTGGATCTGGGTTTTTGGTCTTCAGGGAGAGTCTGTACCCGAGTTTAACTGAGTAGTCCWGGATCGGGATTTTTKATTTGAAATTGSTGGTGGCTTTTGGCTTCCAGGCCCACTCTGCTGGGTCGAATTCCAGGGATCGGATTGTCGTGTCTGGTCTGAAAATTTCCTTTGGCCATGAGCCTAGGACCCTTACTTTTCTTAGGAGGAAAGATTCCAATATAGCTGGTTCTACATTGTCGTTGAAAATGGTTGGCCTGTTCATCTTGGTGGAGGAGATTGGGAATGAGAGAAAAGTGGCTCTGGTATGAGAGCCTTGTTGCATGTGAGAGAATTGGTAGGCTCTAGTGGGGGTTGAGTCTTGAATCAAGAGACCCCAATCGCCCGGTCTCCAGGTCTCATCCTTTACCAGGACATCTTTCCATTCTTGAGGGATGCAGTTGAGTATGTATTGGAGATTGATCTCTCGTCTGTGGCAGCCTTTCAGTTGGGCACTAGCTTCTTGTTCTGTTATTTTTCTGTCCTCCATCCACAAGTGGTCTACTTTCCAGATGCCATTCTTGATCCACGATAGCCACTTTGGTTCTAGGAAAAGAGGGTTGTTGGCTTCGTTTGTCAGCCATTCATTTCCGAAGAGCGGTTGTCTTAGTATTTCGTCTTTAGATTTGGGTTTGTTTATCTTGCTAGGGATTATTTTCCTCCATGATCGCAGCAGTGCCGGCCAGTAGGGGGTGGGTGGCCGATGTGTCCGTTATTCCTCGTCCGGTTCCTCCGACCTGTGGAAATCACCCATTCTTTGTTCATTACCCAAAATAGGCCTGACATGTCGTTTGGGGAGGGTACCGGAGCTATCGATCTAATACTGTCCAAAGCCAGGTTGTCAAGCGCTATCCGGATACATCAGCAGTTYTATGATCCATTTAATTTGCAGAGCTTTCGTTTCAGTTCCGGGGTCAATGATTCCTAGGCCCCCATCGCGTGGTCTTCTTGTCATGTGTTGCCAGGCTATCTTAGATATGCATTTGTCTTTGTTGGGGTCTCCTGTCCAAAGGTAGGTCCTGGCCCGTCTGTTCAGCTCCTTAATCGAATTATCAGGAACTGTCCAGATAGATGCAATATACCACATCATTGAGAAGACCGATGTATTGAGAACCAGTGCTCGGCCTATGAGGGAAGTGAAGGCATTGCCCCATCTTCCGATTTTGTTGATCTGTTTGGCCAGCATAGTCGGGCCCATTTGGGGTGCCAAACCTTCTTTCGTCATTAGGATACCTAGATAGCGTGTAGGTGTGTCCGGTGTTTGCCATGTCATAGCCGCTTCCTCCCCTTGAAGAGAAAGGGGTTCGTCGTCGGAGAGCCACCATCCAATTGTTTTTTCCCAGTTGATCTTCATTTCTGTGGCCAACCTGAATGCCTCCTTTGCTTTAGCTAGTGTTCTGAAGGATGAATCTGATGCTCTGATTAGAACTGTTAGATCATCGGCGGACATGATGGCCGCGGGGAAATCCATCTGGTGGGTCGAGCCTACATCTGTGCTGGCTAGTCTCTGGAATGGCCAATTTAATTTTGAAATTTGACTTTGGAACTCCTCACACACTCTTGCTTGTGGTGCTGAATTTGAAACTCCTCACAATTTTGAATTTTGAATTTTGAAAGTCCTTTACTTGTTGCAGTTTTTTGAAGCGATGGGAAGAGAGTTGCTTGCCCCAGGAAGTGGTATGACCATTGTCGACATGAGCGACTCGGTATTGGAAGTGAGCGTGGGGCACGGGTCGACCATCCGGTTATCGTTGGAGGCGTTGTTGACGGGCGGCGAGCTGTCACGGTCAGAGTCGCAGGAGACGCCAGCTCGCAGAGATCAGCAGGCGGGCAAAGACCCAGGACTAGGGCACTGGACTGCGAAGCACTCGACCGGAAAGGAACCGGCTGCGATGGAAATCGATGGAACGCTCTCAAAGAGCGAAGAGGAGGAGGACGGAAAAGCAAAATGGAGGGGACCAGCACTGTTGATGAGGCCGAGATCGAAGGCCGTGTCGATTCTGTTTAAGCAGGCCTTTCATAGAGCTCTGTTTTCCGATCCGAAAGGTGGGCAATTGCCTCTTCTTTCAACTGTCTCAAATGTCTCTGGGCCAGGACCGAGGACCAGTGATCTTGCGAGCGGAGCCGGTGGAATGTCGGGCGCAGGGGGTTTGTCAGGAGTAAAGGGAAGAGCAGGGGGTCTGGAGGCAGGAGGGCAAGGAGGACCTGTAGGGATTGGAGGTGGTGCAGTAGATGCGACTCGCTCAGGCGGCGTAGACGGAAGGGGTTCTTCCTCCCTATCAGCTTCATTTTCAAGGCTGGTTTGCGGTATTTTGTCGCACCAAGTATATGCTGCAAAGGTCCAGGCCGCACTCGAGCAGCAGGCACGTATGAGCGAGCTTTCCCTGAATCGAAAAGAAAAACAAAGCGAAGAGAAGTACCTTTTGTTGATCTAGGCAGAGGTGTAGGGTTTG